TGTTTAAAAGAATCAAATTTATTAACTATGCTTCTAATATTTAAGTGCATAAATGAAAGTTTATTATTAATTAGTTGCGCTCGATTTATCTGTTGTTCGAAATCGTTTGGTAGGTAATATTCGCAGTTAATTGTGGTCGGGTTATCTAGGTTTGCGTTGTTTTCAGATAACGCAATATTATTTGTTTCGAAAGGGTTGAATTTTAAATGCTTTAGTCTATCCATACTTTCTTCACTGAGATTGTTTCCATTTAAAACATTAAGTTCATAGTCTAGATCATCAAGCGTTTGAAATGGTAAGGTATTATCTAAGCATTCTTGGCACACGTCAATTGTATTTCCGATGTTTGGGTCAAATGACTTTATGCATGTTGACACAGCATGAAACCATTTGGCACATGTCAGACATTCAATTGCTTTTTGTGTTTTGTGGATTATTTTAAGGCAAGAATAGCACTTTTTCTTTTGATTATTGTCAAGATTGCTCATTTAAGAGTTTTCTAGCTTAGTATTTGTTTGTTCGGTGAATAGAAACTATATAATATACTATACATCACAATATTTTAGGAATGTATCAATGTCTCTGCAATGACGAGAATTTTATCAATTTGTGCAAAAAGGACGAAAGCTATGCTAGTACTCGTCTGACATCCACAGAACTTACTTACTTACATTTGGAGCGCATCATGAAACCCTTAGGCCGTTTGCTGCGTCCTGATATCGTTCACTTTCATTAAGCATGTCTTGGAACGGAAATATTTTTACGGGAACTAACACTTTCAAGCACGCTGAGTTCGAAGCCGAAAACTTCCCGCGCCGTAAACCCGCAGTTTTCTCACAAAATGCTATTTTATCTTCGCTAATTTCGCAACAAATTTTTTCATTGTTCAACGACACGGATCGATGACGCCACACGATTATATCACTCAAAACGAACTATTTCTATTAACCAGTCTTCCTTTTAACAAAATACCGGTTTTGCCCGAATTATTATGAGTTATGTAATCTTATGCGTGTTGCACGTAAACAACATATCTTGTCTACAACTTTGGGAAGGTACAGATAACGCCTTCTAAAATCCTCAGTTCTAGCGATATCTCTGTAAAATCACAAGGACGTTAATGCTAAGTCTTTTGGCTATATCACTGGCCTGAAAAATAACTAATTTAACGCGATCAAGGTATTTAAAACAAAAGTAATGCGAAGCCAACGTAACGGCAAAGACAACGCTAAAGTGAAATATTATCGATTGGTTGCTAGTATAGAAGACTTACGACAGGATGAATCTTAAATAACCTTAAACTAGGGGCATAACTGTTCATATCAAAGACGAAGACCAGTGCCAAGGTATAAAATCTGCTCTGTAAACTTACGACGAAGTGGAGAAATGTGTGCATAAGCTGTTTATTTGGTGATTTCAACGTGTATGGTAGCCCTCTTTCCAATAATATTCGTTTATCGCACAGAATAACACCAACTGATATAAGTTCAAATGCAATGATAAGTTACCTCTTGAATTACATCTCAGAAACTTGTTGGAAATGGAAATGCTGACCCATTCCATAAGATTACCGTTTTACATCGTTGTATAAAACATTTTGATCGCATGTAAGGAATTATTTCTCATCCCAGAGATATAGCCCAATGACTTAACATTGACGTCCTTGTGATTTTATAAAGATGCAGCCAGAACTGAAGATTTCAGAAAGCTTTATCTGTACCTTCCCAAAGTTGTAGACAAGATATGTTGTTTATGTCCAACACGCATAATATGACATAACTCAAAATGATTCGAGGAAAACCGGTCTTTTGTTAAAAGGAAGACTGGTTAATAGAAATAAGTCTTTTTGAGTGACATAATCGTTTGTCGTCATCGATCCGTGTCGTTGAACAATGAAAAAAGTTGTCGTGAAATTAGTGAAGATAAAATTGCAGTTTGTGAGAAAACTGCAGGTCTATAGAGTGGGAACTTTTCGGATTTAAACTCAGAGTGTTTAAAAGTGTTAGTTCCAATAAAAATATTTCAGTTCCAAGACAGGTGAAATGAAAATCGCTTTCTAGGCACTTTTCGAGGTCACAGCATACGGCCTACATGGCCGTGTACAGTCGTTGTACATGGTGTAGCCTCTGATTGGGAGGCTGTAATGTCTGGTGTTCCTCAAGGAAGTTTACTTGGTCCTAAACTTTTCGTATCTTTATCAACGATTTCCCTAAAGTTGTGTTTGATACATCACAGACAACACTGTATGCTGATGATTCCAAACTTTACAAGAGCATAATCCTGTCTCGGTAGCTGTGAAAGCTTGCGACAATCCCTGAATTGTCTGGATATGTGGAGCCATAACAACAACATTAGTTTCAACGCATCGAAAGGTGAAGTATTGACAGTAACCCGAAAAAGCAATCCACTACGTTTTTATTACCATCTTGGAGATACAACACTGGCCCACGTTAGAAAAGAAAAAGACCTCGGATGTATCATTACCAACCACCTCACTTGGGATCAATACGTTCTTACGTAGGACATGCTCCTTGCTGACCAACACGAAAGTGCGGCGTTCTTTGTACCTCTCCCTGGTGAAGTGCCACCTCGATTACGCTACCCAACTCAAGTCTGGTCTCCAGCACTCAATTCACTGAAGATCAAAATGGAAAATGTTCACAGAAGGGCAACGAAGTGGATCCGGAAGCAACGATAAGGTGAACAGTCGTACAAAGAAAGACTGGTGACCTTGAAGTTATTGCCCCTATGTTACGATCGCGAAGTAAAGAATTTGGTTTTCTTTTAGAACGGGCATATAAAATTGGATATCAATAACTTTGTTGCCTTTGTTACCCATGGACGTACTAGGTTAAGCGAAGCGAGAACTCTACAGACTCCGTCCTGCAGAACAACCACCTTCTAAGGATCGTGCTTCAACTGTATAGTCAAGCTCTGTAACAGTATTATGACCACTTCCACTTCTCGAAGCTTTCCCAGCTTATCAATGTTTAAAACGTTGGCTAAAAACATATTTAGTTTAGAGCTGAACCGAACCGTTAGTCTAGTGCGGGACTGCTCTAGCCATAGTTCATAGCGTAAACTAATTATTTAGGAGTAAAACGTTCAAATAGGAGCGGATGACGATGTTTCGTGCGTCATCTGAACTAATCACTCCAAGAGAGTTGACTAGCTCGATCTCCAAATCATCATTCGCTCCTATTTGACCGTTTTGCTACTTTGAATTCATTCTTTTAACACTTTTATAATACATATATACTTATACATATCTGTTACTACTTATTATAGAGAAGGGAGGTGCCTTGCATGGGACTCCTATTTTGTCTCGTTCGCTCCTTCCCTTTTGAGCCAGTTGATATTGTACTACTTATTTTAATGTAATTTCTGGCACCAATAAAATTGTTAAATTACAAAAAAAATTACATGTGTTTGGCAAAATGCTTGTATAATACCGCATGTGCGTAAGCAGGTCGGTATTATGAATATTTCGCCAAAAACAAGTGAGATATTTCACTAAACTTCAACAACAAAATAATGTAATGACAAGTATAGCCGAACGTATATTTTAAAGACAAGGATTCTTGACAAGGAAGTTTATTCAGTCGATACTACATGGAACAATACTAGACAAGTTTTCCGTCTATTTGATTTAGAATGATTTGGCATCCAAATCAAAGTGTCCCTTCTGCCATGGCAACCATGGTACATAATTATTTTATGAATGTCTTATCATTTTGCACACATGAAGACGATGTTAAAAATTAAATTTCAGATTTTGATTTTTATCGAAAGTCCTTTCTAGAGGTGAGGTGGGGTGATCAATGCGGAAAATAAGGGACATGCTGCAAAATAGCGACTAGCGGAAAAAGTTGAAATAATGTCGAATATCTACCTGAGCAGCAGTTTTATTGTCCAATTCTTGCGCAATATCTTCGTAAATATTATCGGATAGACCTCGACTTTGACACAGTTGTAAAATTTTCTTGTCATCCTCCCTACAATAGGAATAGGTAACTTGTATTAGCGGTTGTTGTTTGTGTCTGAACCAACATTGAGTGAAGATCCTTCATTACAAGTGAGTGAAGATCCTTCATTACAAGGTAGCGATGGAACGGGAAACACGTGTGCAAAATCGATCGGCCGGTAGAATTAACAGAACCAATAAAATAAATGTAATAAAAAACAAACCATTAGAGAAAACCATATCAGAAAATTATATTGGTAAAAGATTAGGTGAAAAATTGGTATACGGAAAAAAATCCTGTCAAATGAAACCTCCCGGCACGAATAGTAGCTACTTCGTGAATCTCATTAAGAAAACACAAAAAAAATCATCAGGGCCGCCGAGAGTGGGGGGACGAGACAATTGTGATTAAAGGGTAAAATTTGCAAAAGGGGGCCCCCAAAAGGTGTAAGTAAAAAAAATTTATTTGGAACGTTTTTTATATAAGTAATTGTATGAGAGAAATCTTTTAGACCTTAATTTTACTGACATTAGTCCGAAAAAATGTGTTTTAGCCGTGATTTTACAGGTATTTCGCCAACATTTTTGAGAAAAATAGGGGCCCCGAATTAAAAATTTGCCCTGGACCCCTGAATTTCTCTGGTGCGGCCCTGGAAATCATGACCGTGAAGGAGGTTGTATATCTGATACAAAATCATGCCGATTTATATACACTTTCAATTCTCTCATCAAATGTCATTCATCTATTTTAAACTGTTGAAGAATATGAATGTTCTCATCATTCGCGTCCGTGGTATATCGCATATGCAACATCTCGTCTTCGGCTCGAGTTTGTATATCCGATACAGCGCGGCCTCTCATGTTGTAAATAACACATCAATGTCTGCTGATGTCGCGCATGGGCAGGTTAGAGTTAAATGTTAGAAAATCACTCGCTGACACCATGGTGGCAAAACGTGCAAATTTACAAATGCGATGTATTTGTTGTTTGAACGGCTTTCAGTGCTACCAGAAATGCGCATGCTCAATTCCTTTGCGGAAGAAGAAGGATATTTGGTGAGCATCGTCGTATTTCCCTCGGGAATGATACTAAACAACATATTGCGGGATATTTCGACAGTGACAATTCCGGTCTATTCGAGATGAAAATTCGAGTTTTTTGTTCTTTTCCTTGTTTCCTGTTGTCAATCTTCACCCCCTTACACGAGCGATTGTCTTAATTAAATTGATTTTACATAATCATATATGTTATTTGGAATTTCGCATAACCTATAGCTCCTATACCTCGTCCATATTACGGATTTCCCATCTTCGTCCACTTCAAGATTGTTCGCAGAAATTCGGTTATCAAAGTCATCTGAACATTCCTCTATGTTAATAATTTCATTTCCTTCTTTACATGTTTCTTCTGTGGCTTGTGTCGAACCACAAGCTATCCTATCAGGACTACAGTCTACGTCTTCTGGTTTCGATATAACGTCGTTTTTTTTATGTTTATTCCCTACTTTTATATGCGGTGTTTCCTCAGTTTGTTCACGGTTTTCACATTGTTCCAATGAGGTTGGAGAAGCATTTGACAAGGCAGGATCAGTAGCCTCATTGCTTAAATCCGACGCACCTTCCGACGCTGACGTCACTTGACTTTCCTGAGTTGTTTCTGGAGACTCTATGTAATCTTCGTCAAATAGATCATCCACTGACTTACATTCGCTAGCTGGACTGCTGGGATTACTAAGGTCACTGGTATATTTAGTTAATAGTGGCATGGATTGTGTATCATTTGGATTTTCTCGAGTTTCACTGTCACTGTTTATTTTATCAATAGGCTCATCGTAATCCTCATCGGAATCTAATGCCTTGTCGTAATTATCGCCTATATCATCGTTAACTTCCTCAGGTCTATCTGCTATATCCTCAGTAATATCATTGTCTTTGTCATAATCTACGACATTTCCATCGATATTCTTATCATTTGCATCGTCTTTTTTCACTCTACGATGTTTTCTTGACATAGACCTGCCGGGAGGTTTCATTGGCGTTTTACCAAAGTCACGCGTCTTGGTCAGATTTTTCTTCACATCTGGTATTATTACTTCCTCGAAATCATCTACCTGTAAAATCAAAATAATGATCCAACATCTGAAAACCTCACTACACTACCCGGCGAATCTTCTCATGGAAAACTAACCTACTGTTGGGTAGTATTATAAAATAATATGAAGGCTCCTGATTGATAGGGATACAACTACCTGAAGAATACAAGGAGAACTTCGACGTTTCGAGCAAAGACCCTTGGTCGGGAAGTTAGCTAACTTCGAACTAGTAAATGCCCTGGGAACGAGGCTGTTTGAAATATTACACAAAACACTGACCTACGTAGGCAACGAGATTTTAAATTTATTATTTTGCATCCGACGGCCCAAAAATCTATTTCAACCCTCACAGATGGCACGATATTTACCCTAAAGACGGAGTCGGCCAGACTTTATACTGACCTCTATCTCACTTCCACTTCCAAGTTCCACTTCTTCAAAATCATCGCTGTGACTGAAACAAATAGAGGTAGACAAACTGAAAATGTTTTCGCCGAGGCTTAGGCTGTGAGGCATATTTAAAGAAGCTCCATACAGTAACACGCGGGATGAAAATCACATATATGCGTGGCGATTGCGTGGACTATTCGTGCAACCTCCACAATCGAAACAAAACAACAACTGGCCGGTGTTATTAAAAAAACTATTCTGAAAGGTTTGCAATCAGAAAATCTGAAAGATTTTCATCTAAAGCTAAAAGAAGTATCACAGTTTTATAACAAAATGCCGACTGATTCATCCTCAGCGAAAGTCCAAAAAGACTGCTTACGCTACTACAGCTCGTGAATTGAATAATTTACAGGCTACCATATGCAGGCTATACAAATGAGTTAGAAAAATTTTACTCTGTCTGTATCTGATAATTACCTCGGTTGTGGTTTTAAATTATTGAAGAATGAGTTGAATTCCTCAATCAGATATTGCTGTCCCTTTAAGAGAGGAATTACCGCGTCATAGAGCTAGAAAACATAGAAAAAATCATATAAAGTCTATAAAATTAACTTCAACAATGTAATGAATTTATTTACGCATCATTACATGTTTACACAAAATATGTTATTAGACATAAAAAAATGTTAGATACAAAAGAATAAACACGGTAATATGTTTGGCAGTTTTAGCATGGCTATATATCCCAATGTTCTGCACACGAATATGTTTCTCTTCGATCTTGAGCCCAAATAAAACTTATCCTTAACCCTATTGTGGACTAAAAACGAGGAAATAACCCCTTGAAAACGAGGCCAATGGGGTAAGAGTTCAATAAACGATACAGTCTATTGATGAGCTAACCGGGTTATCGAGTACGCCAATCAAAAGCGTTAAAATTTTAGATTACATAATTATACATTGTACAATGATGTACATTATAAGGTAACGTAAACTTATTTAAGCACGCTAACCCTTTCAATGTAAATTTATTTCCAAGGGGGGCGTGCAAAATTTAAAATTACAAAGCTAACATAAGGATAAGTATATTATATAACAAACATACTTGCAGGGAGGTGAGTCCGGGATTGGACGCACCGAGGGTGGCTGGAAGTTTCCCGAACTCACCGAGCGAAGCGAGGTGAGTTCAGGAAACTTCCAGCCACCCGAGGTGCGTCCAATCCCGGACTCACCGAACCTGCAAGTATGTTTGTTTTTTATCACATGCCATTTCGGTAAAATACTAAAAAGTACTGAAGAATTTTATACGCATTTTACTTTATAGTATATAATTTCGTGTTTGGATAACGAACATTTTAGCCGCCAACATACGACGCAAACAAACAAACTTAGGCTTAAATTAAAGCTAAAAAAATTCTCTACAATACTCCCTTACTCTTCAAAAGAGAAAATGAACACATTCTGCGAAAACAATGCCAAGATTTATATAAACCTGCCCGTGCCGAACAAATTTCGGCGGCCATCTTTCTTTTTTTCCACTTTCAATGCAGAATATTCCATTTTCATCACACAAAATAAAAAAATAATAATTATAAAACAACTAAAAACAGTTCATTTATTTTTTTATTTAAATCTTCGTCTGAAATTTGTTCAAATCCCTTCATAATGGCCGCCGTGAAAACATCGATCTCGAACCCCCCTCCTAAACATACGTGAGCAGGTGGGTTCGAGATTGAACGCACCTCCTCGTAGCCAATAGGAAAGCCGCTAATACGCTAGGTATGAGATAACAAATGAAATCATATATCAGGCTAGTTGAACGTACAAGCTAATTGAAACTTGCTAAGCTTTCACCGTTTCCAATTTCGATCGAGAAAATAGTTCCATAATTTGGCACCTCTGCAACTCTTTTTCAATTATTCCGTTTTAGGAAGGGGAAGATTTTATTAAAGCATAGTTAATAGAGGAGATGGTTTGGAAACTCATTAGCATTACAATAAACCTCACTATCTATGTTTTTGTTCAGGTTTATGCAAAAATGTGGTCTTTCATCGTCACGTGCGTATTGTATTTTTGCTCAACCAGCCAATAGCAACAGTTTTGTCCTATTGCCCATCCATGACTTTAACAATAGAACATTTTGAACATTCCTATTGGTTGACTTGAGAAAAATACAATACGCACGTGACGATGAAAGACCACATTTTTGCATAAACCTGAACAACATAGATAATGAGGTTTAATGTCATTTTATTGTAATGCTAACGAGTTTCCAAACCATCTCCTCTATTAACTATCATTAAAGCTAATACTGTAGCTTCATGTCAGAAGTTCGGAGGTTGTAGTCATGAAGTCTGACAACTGAAGAACTGAAAAATATTTCAGTAAGCACCACATGCAGGAGCAAAATCATGAATAATCTTATACATCTTATCGAAACACGTTTTACCCAATCTCCTGGTGACTAAAACGTAATTACCTGGCTCGATTTTGACTCCTGTGAATTAAATGTTGAGAATGCCTTGATGATCTTTTGAAAATGTGATGGGTTTTTTGAAAAATGGCTCTGTACAGAAAAAATAAATGATTATAACATGAATAAACTATTTCCTCTAGTATATACTATAGTATTCATTCAGTCATGATGCGAGCATAGACACAAACCGAAACTATGAATTCAATACAGGTTTTATTACAGTTACATTACAGCGGGGAATCTGTGGCAGGGAATCGGTGGCGCAGTCGTCACAACAAGCGCCTTTTATACTTGTGAGATCGTGGGTTCGATTCTCGCTACGGACTCATGTGAAAAGAGTCTGTCAACACTCTGCCGAAAGTCGTAGGTTTTCTCCGGGCGCTCCGGTTTCCTCCCACAGGGCAAGTTGGCAGGGTGGGTTAGGATGAACATAGTGAAGAAAGTAATATCACAATTGTTGTAAAGATAAATAGTCTAGGCTAAGTAAGTAACATAAGTAAGCGTAATACATGATGTAACGGTCACTGAAAGCCACAATGGGGAGCGACCTCAATAATAATGTAATGTACAGTTTAGTAATGTACAAAAAATAGTGGCGCATTGGTGGCCCTAATCAGGTTTTTCATATGAGAACGATTCCGCTTATAAACGCACGTGCTTTAAATTCATTTTACCTCAACACGTTGAAGGAATATCCTTGCTTTTAAAATCGCTTTGTTTGTCATAAACTACAAGAAAACGGATACAAATTCAATGATGACAAATCGTCAAAACATTCCAAAAAATTACAATTTGTTTTTATATAAGGCCATGTTGCACGGGGCAATTATTGCTGCAAATTGCAACGCAATTTCGGATGCACAGTGCCATGTTATCCAAAATGCAGTCATAGAAAAATGTGAGCGTGGCCTGCATTCGACACGCGTAAAAATGTCACATCTTGTAGCAAGTCTGCCAACAAGCTGTCAACAAAGTTGTGTTCGCACTGCTTGTCCCAAGATGTCAACAAGTTTGTAATAATCTGTTAACAAATTATAACAACCTAATTGAGAGACTTGTTGCAAGTTGTTCAATACAATCATGATATAGCAACATTGTTACAATCTTGTGTCGTCAAATTTGTGACATTCTTGTTATACACACGTAAAACGCACAAGTTGTAACAAACCTGCAGCAGACTTGTAGCAATGCTGTTCCAACATCTTGTCAACAGGATGTGTTCGCACTGCTTGTTCCAAGCTTGTTGACAAGTTGTCAACGGCTTGTTGGCAACTTGCTACAAGGTTGTTGAGCTCAACAAACTTGTTACAAGATGTTCCAACAACTTGTTAATCGAAAGCAACAAGTTACATGCACGTATCAAAAATTGTGTATATTTAATCGAAAGCAACAAGTTACACGTCAGGGTAATGTCTTGTTTTTGTCGAAATTTCAGAGGTGGCTAAGTTCATTTGTTCGAGATTCTTTTTTTTTTAGTTAATTTCTTTGTAAAGCTATATAGTAGGCTACCGTGTACAGACTCGGCACTATCAGATTTTTAAGTATCTTAAGTATAAATATACAAGAACGTGAACATTTATTAAGCCCCTTCACCTCTTCTAATACGCTCCAGTGCAGGGGACAAATAGAGGAAATACGGATACATCAACACCATATAATGGTAATATATTTCTCACCAGTCCAGCGTCCAAAGCCTGATGAGGCTCAAGAAAACCAGCAAAATCACGAACCAAATCAGGAAAATCTTTCAAGACCACAGCAACTTCTTTGTAAAGCTATATATTAGTAGAAAACATAATGGATATGAATATATTTGAAAAAAATCATTAATAATTCATGAAGAAAAAACAAGAAAATTAATGACCGTGAAGGAGTTTGTACCGGGTGGGGCAAACAAAAGTACGACTGTTTGTATCGCTGCAAAAGCAAAACTAAAAGAGCAATGAACCTAAAACACGTTTATTGGCATTGAGCGATATCCAACTTTTTTTATATATGCCATGCACATTTCCATGCCATGTTGCCAAAGATACATGCATTCAAACAAGTGAACATTTTTGGAACAGACGAAATTAGCTAAAAATGGCTTAGGGCCTGTTCATATGGGCAAAAGTTATCCCGGTTAGCGAGAAAACTTTTCGACAAGTTTACAAGCGAGATCTCGCCTTGGTATGAAAATAATATGAAAAGTTACACTGCGTTCATATGAGACAAAACGTTTTCCCGTGTACCGAGATCTCGCTTGTTGACAGGCGAGATCTCGGTGACCGGGATAATGTTTTTCCCATATGAACACAACTTTCCCGCTTAGCGGGATAACTTTCTGTCGTGTCAGCAACTTTTCAATTCAATTGATGTTCAGTGCCACGTCACAGCCGAAAACTTTACCCGGTAAGCGGGATAAAGTTTCTCCATATGAACAGAACAAAAGTATTTGGCTAGTCGAAAAGTTTTCTCGTTAACAGGGATAACTTTTGCCCATACGAACAGGCCCTTAGTAAATATTAATATATACATTCGTTGTGTTATTATACTCTACAGTCAGTACGTTCACGCTTGTTGTTCAAAAACAATCGTCTATATTCATCAGCAAATGCATGTACAATCGAAAGAATTTTGGATCATTTGCTGTTCCAAGTTGTGGCATGATGTAACAATCGCTTACGAAGCTCTCTCAAATTGTGTGGTTGCTGATCATGTGACACATTCCAGATTTTATGTTTCAAATAGCCCCAAAGAAAAAAAATCGCATACTGTTAGAGCAGGGCAGCGATGTGGCCAAGGCCAGTCGCCACGTTTACTCATAACTCTGCAAGCGAATTGTTTCCGAAGGTATTGCATTCTTGCATTGCTGGTATGGGAAGGAGCTTCATCTTGCTGCCACCACATGTGATCCCTATTGATATTGCGTGAACACGAACGTTTCTCTGTCAAACGTTGTAACGTATGATTCGGAGGTACTCTCTCGTATCGAGATTTCTTTAAACAAAGTGTGGACCCAGAACAACTGACCTCGTCAAACCAACCCACTAATTGAAACAATAATCGCGAGAAAATGGCAACGGTTATTCAGTTGGTTTTAATAGGGCCTTTTCAGCTAATTCTCGGCGGTTCCAAAAATGTTTCCTTAAGTTTGAACACAATTATCGCAGTCAATATTGCATGAAAATGTAAACATCGTGGATTATACGGCGACTTACTAAAGGGTAATATCTCTTTTAATTCTTAAGTCATAGTAAATCAAACAGTCGTACTTTTTTGCTCCACCCAGTATATCAGATACAAAATCATGCTGATTTACATAAATTTTGAGTTCAATTTTCTCACAAAATATTATTCATTTATTTTAAATTGCTGAAAATTACGAATCATCAAGGCGAGACTCATTGGTTTACGGATCCGCCAACCGTAAATATTCAGAAAGTAAAAAATGAAAGTAAAATTTGGATGTCAACATGAAGTACACACAAGTAAACTTTGTACTGCTGGTTCGTACTGCTGGTTCGTGTTATGGTTGTGACAATCAATATGGAGATGTATTAGATTTGATAGAGATTATTAAATTTGGTTCTCATTTATACTCATGTGTTGTTTTTTTTTAATTTTCCGACCTACCAACCTGTTTTTTTGAAGTCAAATCAGTAAACCAATAAATAAAAAAAGTCTCACCCAAGATGCTTCACAAGCCATTTACAACTCTCGCTTTCGGCTCCAGCCTCCAGTTTGTATATTCGATACAACACGGTCGCTCATGTAAATATTACAAATGCTTGAGAGTGCGTGCTTGATATCAATGACAGATAGCGAAAATAGTATAGTTTCGCTTGCCTCAAGGTTGCCACTACGGCCTTTTCATCCAATGAAAAAAGATTCCTTCATTGAATGCAAGAGGCTGTATAGTGACCACCTTGGGGTAAACCAAACTATAATATCCAAACCATGGCCTAACTCGATCATATCAAAGAATGCGTTGGAGTCTACATATGACGTATGTATAGGTGAATTGCGGCAAATCTAGTGGAAACAGGTTGTGGCGTCGGTTTATTCACATCAAACATATACTTAATACTTTGCTTAAGGACCATATGAAGCTGTTCCTGTTCTTATTCTAGATTGTCAGGGGCACATCGGTAAATAGAAGATTTTTTTATATTCTGTTTTTGGGATCAAGTGGGAAATTAGTGTCTAACACATGGGCCCTAACTCGATCATATCAAAGAATACGTTGGAGTCTACGTATGACGTATAGGTACATTGCGACAAATATAGTGAAAATCGATCTAGTCGAGGGTTTAAAGGGTCTAGTCCAGGGTTGTCCAGGGTAGCAAAGTTTAAAGGGTGTAGTCTAGCAAAGGGTAGTAAAGTTTGCAGTATAATAAAGTTGACGAGCATACTATTGAAATGTAATGTGATGTAAATGTGATGTAATGTAACGTAAACAGGAAACGGTAAGGCGGTAAAGGGTAAAAAGTTTAATGTAACAATGAAAAGTGATGCTGTAATGCAATTGCTTATGACGTGATGTAAAAAATAATGAAAAGTCACCTAACAATATCGACATAATCGGCAGAACAAAGGGTTTACCTTTGTTGGGCTCCAAGTATTGGTCCTTGAATCCACCAAAACTTTCAGAAATGCTTGATATGTAAGACTATCTTCCTTCACTTCTTTCTGTAAACAGCACATAATTATAAGGCTGCAAGTTTACAAAGATTGCTACATTCATTTTAGAGCAACAAAGACAAACTTAAGACATAACAATGTAGCTATACAGTGTGAATAATAATAGGCTTTAGCATATACTCGGGAGGTGAATAGTGCTTTTCACGCAATTTCATTGGTTGCACAACTCCGGATATCCTTGCACTATTCACCTCCAGACGAAAACAAAATGGCGTCACGTTTTGTTCCGGATACACACGAGCAAATTATTGTACTAAACGAAGCTGCGGTTTCGCCAAACACGAAGAAATCCACAAAGTTTTGTTTAACAGCGAGTATTGGTATTCTTTAAAGCCATTTCTAATGAACAAAATCACTAAAAGCTCAATAAAATACTGTTTTGTTTACAACTGTTATGGGAGCTGTAATATATGTAATATAAATGGTTTTAAAATATTTTCGTTGTTATTTGGTCATTTTTGTTATGTTGTGGTATATGATAAAACAATTATTCACCTCAGTGTCGGTGAATAGTGCAACGATATTCACCTCAGCGCTTCGCGTTTCGGTGAATAACTTTGCACTATTCACCTCAGTGTCGGTGAATAATTGTTAATTTACCGATTGTATTTAGAAAATATACTAATAACCCAGGGCTGCTGGATGAAGTGTTTACCACCGTGCCGTGCATGAAGCGTTTACCACCTAAAGTCTAGTCTAGTCTAATCTAATCTAATTTAATCTAATCTAATTTAATCTGATCTGATCCGAACTACATAAAATATTCACCTTGACATTGCTGAGATAAGACTGAGCATATGAAATCGCACGAATCTGAAATGATGCAAAAAACGAAAACAGTTTAGCCTAAGATTTGCCCTCTGGTGCTTGGCCAGTCACAACAGGGTGGCGTGAGGCGCCAGAGTGGAGAACCGATTCGCTGACGGAGATGTGCAATCTTTGAGCGCGCTCTAGTTACCTTAATATCTTCATTTGTATCTGTTCTTAGGTTTTCAGTATTACAATTATCAACATTTTCAATATGAGTTTCCTCACTGACGGGTTGTATATTCTCTTTCTCTGAACCTTGCAACATTGCATGATCTGTAGTCGCTCCAGTTGGTATGTCGTTTAACGGAGAACATGCATGATTCAGAATCTCATTTTGTAGAGATTGCGGCCTTGGTGTTGTGGGGACTTGTTGAGTGTCTTTTGGTGACGGCTTCGGGTTTGGCAATATGGTTCTCATTTTTTCTTTAGATGAAGAAATATTAATTCTAAAAAGAGTATTAGAGATGGAGTCTGACCCAGAGAACAAAATACGAGGACGATGACGTACTTGAAAACTTTTGCAAGTCTGCGCATTATCGTGCGCATACTGAGTTTAGCTGATTGTTCAAAGAAAACAGGTTACAGATTCATGTCTAGCTGTTTATGAATGCTGACCCTAAGTCCTTATCCTAACAAAACAGCGAGACATGAATCCATATCCCGTTTTCGTCCTTGTACCTTCGTTCAGAACGAATATTTTGGCAAAATTCGTCGTGAACTTCGTACTCAACGAAAGCAGAAGAACAAAGATGGAATATAGTTTCGTGCCTCGCTGTTTTGTCTGGGTCAGGGTGAGGATTAGGGGCAGTATTCATAAACAGTTGGACATGAATCTATAACGGGAAGCACGTTGAGCCACCACCAGTGCCATCAATCTCAGTTTCCCTAACACCAATTGGGGAAAGCAGAAACTTCTTTATCAAGCCTGTAAGGAGTACAATAGTTTTGACAATAACATCAAATCAATAGACCTTATGTATAATGACGTCACATGGCTTGATGCCAGTGAGGAATGATGGTCTTAGTAGTCATCGCCCGGGAAAATTTCGATAGTGGCCATTTTGAATTGTTCAATTTTCCCGGGCGATGACTACTAAGACCATCATTCCTCGCGGACATCAAGCCTTGTGACGTCATTATGCATAAGATATATTAAGCAGCTAGCTAGTTTTCATAACTTAATGTACGGACAATTATTCAAAGGAGCGTAGAGGAGAGAGCTTGGGAACGAGGTTTACGGTTATTACGTCATATCAAGAAAACTTTATGGCGCAGATCTCCTTTGCGTTTTGAATGAGTTTGAAATTGTTTGTATAAGAAAATATTACCTTGCAAGGTTTTTACTGTCATTCGTATTTTTAAACTGGTTATTATTCCTTGCACCTGGCAGCGGCGGTTGACTGCTTACTACAACATCTTTTGTGGCGTCCATATCACACTTGGGATCTTCCAGGATAATTGTTGGGATCTTCTATACAGAAAAACACAGATCACATAAGTGTTAAGATACAAAGAAAATCGTGGGTATATTTAGTCCCCTGGTCGAAAACGGACTTTACAGATTGAAAGGTTTGCTACACAAATAAACGTGGTACAGAATATTGTGACCAGGAAATTTCAGTTCGGCTTGAAGCCGAGTATAACCGAGTTCAAGCCGAGATTAGGGTAAGGAGTTTAGCGGTTAGGGTTACAATACAGGGTGTTGGACATTACACGTACTAAACTGAAAGTTTTCAAGGATTTTTCAATGTCTTACAAAGAGAATACAATCCAAATATTAGCAAAAAATAATTAATATCAAAGTCGCTTAGTTTACTGCATGATCTTCCCACGACTGTGGTTGTCAGCACATGGACAAGGAGCTCTGAAATTCCTCAGTTTTCCCTATAAAATTCCGTTTCCAAAATCACGTCAAAACAGCGACATTTCGAATGTCGTGAAATCGACATCAGAGACGTTCAGATTTTACATCCACTGCCGCTATCGCTCACTGGCTCAGTAAGATCTCATTTGTTAATCAGGTATAGATTAAACGTATTTGATTGTATACAAACACACATAAACAACATAAACTAGTAAATGGTTGTACGAGGAGCTGTATGCGCAATAATAGAGTGTATTAAAGAAGTTCGCACTAGCAAAACCACAGTGGTCTCTGGTAAGGTAGAGAAGAGACCTTGTTTATAGACCCATTCACACGACGCGACTAGTCGTATATGGTTGTCATTCTGGCGTATGCAAACGACTTGTGACGACACTATTCCTGTTCATCAGTTCATTCTTGTTTATAAGAAATTTCAACTTTACACGCATTTATTAGAGTACGCCAGGATAACATTCGTATAGGACTAACTGTATCGTGCAGATGGGCCTTATGTAACATTATTTGCATGATAAAATTATGAAAATTTCAGATTACGTACATTGAACTTTTTAATTAATAATTGTGTGATTCTTTTCAAGGTCTTTTAACAGATTTTGTATTTTCAAGGACTTTTCAAGTGCCCTTGAAATTGATTTTTCAACTTAACACTTTTCAACGAGTTCAAGGACCTGCACGAACCCCGTGAAAAGGTTGACGTATAATTACAAGCAACACATAATCGACGTTTCGAGTGAAGGCCCTTTGTTAGCTATTAAACTTTCCAACGAAGGACCTTCGCTCGAAATGCTGAGGTTTTGCTTGTATTTTTCAGTTGGTTAAGTCCCTCTCAATAATCCGCAGCTTTCTGGTGTTATTGTCACCACCTACGCTGGCACAGACCGTTCTCTCCCAATCCTGAGAGCGTACGCACCGCGAAATGCTTTTATCAGTGTTATTTCATGTGTGTATAATAATACATTTTACAATTACAACTTTGGAAAGTCGCTCTTCACATTGTATACACTAGATTCTCTTACGTGGGAAGACAGTAGAGAGTTTAAGATGTACGACGCGGGCGGCTCAACGACGCGCTTTCCAAAACAAATGTCATGCAAGAATAATTTATGGTCCCAAGGGTATTCTCAACAGCTTTGTCATTCTCAACACAACGTTAAACCATAGCCCATCGAAGGGAAGATGGCTGTGAAACTAATTAGAATAGCAACATTATAATAACTCATTTAATATCTATGTTAATCAAGGTTTATTCAAGAATCTGGTCCTTCACCGTCACGTGCGTATTGTATTTTTGCCAAATCCACCAATAGCAACTTCCAAATTACCCTATTGTTCGAGTCACGGGTAGGTAACTTTCCTAAAGCATTGCCATTGGTTAGTTGGGCAAAACTACAATACGCACGTGACGGCGAAGGACCAGATTTATGAATAAACGTTGACTAACATAGATAATGAATTAGTTATATTGTTATTCTAATGAGTTTCACAGCCATCTTCCCTTCGTTATGGTTAAACTAAGCATTATTACGTCTTTCAAGCAACGTGAAAGTTTATTGCGACCCAAGAGTTGTTACTTAAAGTCGAAATTACAGCAAACATTGCATCGCTTCAGCAGTTTGTAAGGTTATTTGAAAAAGCTTCAAACACTTGTTACAGTAAACAAATTGCTTAGCGCTCATTCTCCAGCTGAAATTCAGACCGCGTCATTGAACTCTATAATATCCCAAATAAGGTGGGTACTGACCTGCGTGAGAAATGCCAGTTTAGTAATATGGAACTTGGGAATTCAAACACAGGCCTCAAAATAACGACCGGTCAACGGACAAAGACCACGGGCTTTAGGACGAATTCAATTTGACAATAATAGTATTCTATCTAAATAGCAGTTAAAATAAAGTGTACGGCACCTGAACCATTCATTATCTTGCTTGCAGACAGTGCTTCTAAAATAAATCCATAAATACATTTACATATGCAAATAATGTATATTTTCAAAATCCGCCATATTTATTTACATTAGAACCCAAGCACAGCACGCTTTTGCGGCTCATGCCCGTGATTTGCACTGATAATAGGAGGGTAAGATCATCCAATTATTTTTCTTGTTCGAAGCAAGGGAAAACGACACTTCCATATATGGCACAAACGTGTCCCAAACTTCCTTATATGGCACAAACGTGTCCCCAAAATATTTTATCGAGGCTGTTATGATGTCATAAGATTCCACACGCTCGGAACGATTTGAACAGGTAACGTGACAGCTGATTGGGGATTGTGACAACCTATGGTGACAACGCCCACTTTGATCCTACCCTCCTGCAGGCTGCTCCATTTACTGTTCGGATTATGTACTCCGGATTTTGGGAACACAAATGGAATAGAACAGAACATGATCACATGACTGTTCGGAACTGTTCTGGCTGCCCCAACTTCAAACGTTAAAATACGATAATCAAATTATTGAGTCTGTTAGTAATCATAAACATTTAGGTGTCACCCTTTCTTCTAGTCTTTCGTGGAGAACGCATGTGTTTAATATTTATGAAAAAGCATCAAAAAGACTAAACCTTTTGAAGGGTTTGAAATTTAGAATAAATATAGCAGCTTTAGACAATCTGTACAAGGCACTTATAAGGCCTATTCTAGAATATGCTGATGTTCTTTGGGACAATTGCTCCCTGAGTGAGTGCGACCTTATTCAATCAATTCAATATGAATCCGCAAGAATGGTCACGGGCGCTATGAAGGGCACCAGCAGATCAAGACTGTTAGAAGAGTTGTCATGGGAAGATATGAAAACAAGGCGTTCCATGAATAAACTTGTTTTATATTACAAAATTGTTAATAACCTTACTCCAAATTATTTATCCGATTTGCTGCCCCAGACAGTGCAACAAAGGCCAGGGTTATTATTGAGAAATTCAGAGAATATTACTTTGTATAGGTCAAGGACGGAGAGATTTAAAAAATCCTTCTTTCCTTCAGCTACGTCAATGTGGAACAATCTCCAGGTTAGAGAACGTAATATATCCACTGTTCAAGCATTTAAACGTTCGTTGCTTCAGTACTTTGACATCGAGAACTACAATAAATTATACGATTTTGCCATCGATAGGTTTTCGTCGATAATACATACTCGCTTGCGTTTAGGTTGTTGTGGCTTAAATTACTATTTGTTTAAAGTTAAATGTAAACTGTCTTCAACATGTGCTTGTAATGAGGATCATGAATCATGCAGTTGCTCATTATTTGTTAAAATGTCCCCGATATTCTGCTTTAGACAAAATTTACTCTCGAGTGCTGCACAAATTTTTGGTAATAACTGGTATCTCTTGTCGGATTTAGAAAAGGTCAACATTTTTCTTCATGGTTCTACGAATTTGGATATCTTAGATAATCTGAATCTTTTTATGTTTGTTCAACAATATATAAAGGAAACCAAACGTTTCCTTCAATAGTCGAATATGTGTTAATCTGACTGATATAAAGGGAACCAGTTGTTCAACTTTCCGTGTGTGATAATTTTTTTTTTATCAGTGTAAAAATGTGTAGCGTGAGCCCCGTAGATGAGCTTCATGCTCGTGGGCAAACGCTAGTGAAAAATAAATATGTTTATACAAAAACTTCAAACGTTGCAAAAGCATACTTAGATATACAAATAACAGCAAATCATTATAACTAAACACTGTTCCAGAACACCGTGTGCACGCCATTTCATATCGTTCCAGAACAGTGTTCCAATGTTCTAGAACAGTAAATGGAGCAGCGTCCTGTTATTAGTGCTAATCACGGGCGTAACGTGATATTTCGCGTGAGCCTCGAAAGCTTGGGTTCTATAAATGTAAATAAATATGGCGGATTTTGAAACTATACAGTATTTGCATAACACGTAAATGTATTTATGGATTTAGAAGCACTGTCAAGCACGATGTTGAATAGTTCAGGTGCCGTACGCTTTATTTTAACTGCTATTTAGATAGAATACGATTGTTGTCAAATTGAATTTGCCAAAAAAATGCTTGTTGACTAGTCACTTTTTTACCTCGCCGGAACAGGTGGGAAATTTGTCGTCGCTGACCAAAAAATTGCGGGCAGAAACAAAGCTCATTGCATTTGCATTCAAAACAAAGCAGAAAGTTAGCAAGAAGCTGTTTTAGCGGACGATTTTTTGCTTTCCATTCAACGATTTACAAATTATTGGTTATTCTTTTAAAAGTCGATCATGAATTCTTTGTTTTGGGATGATTGTTTTGTAATCGCGTGATTGGAAGAAGTTAATATGGCGACGTGAACATGGGAGTAAATACAGTATACGTCGATCTATGGCTTGTTTAAAACCGTAATAAACGAAGAAAGACGTGATTTGAGAATGAAATGTAAGTTGAAATTAACTTTATATGCCTCAAATTTTCCATCCTATGTTTCTTGATGTAACTTCAGCTGTCTAAGTTCAAAATACAAGCTCGCGAAATTTGACAAATTTTGAAAATATGTAAAAATAGCTTGACTTTGAACTGTATTTTCTCAAAAATAGCCCGTGGCCTCAATTTCAAATATAGCTAAATGAAAAGCAAAAACTTTTCGGCGTTTGCAGGTATCAAAGATATCGTCAGGAAAATAGGGGCTCACAATGTTTTAGTTCAGTCTTTGAGACCCAGTTGCTTCGCACGTGTTGTGGTCAAATTTTTGCCAAGAATCAAAGGCCGAAATGTGAACTTCCTTCATGAAAACCGCTTCGAGAAGGGTCTAGTTTGAAAATTTAGCTATTAATTTCGATTTCATGAGCATATTTTGGTTACACGTTAAGTATTTTTGTGCTTGATGAGATTCAAAATTTGTTGTATATTCAAGCCCGGCTTTTGTGTAATTTTGGTGATGACCGGAACAGAAATAAAGATATTTTAAAAACTGGCCGTGGCCTCACGATAAAACTTTCTACAAATGTTCTCTGTTTCATGTACTTTTATTTGATATCTTAGGTATAAGCGTAAAAATAGGGGCTCATACAGTTTGAGAGGTTGTAAAATGCATGACTTGCCTCTATTTTCATGTAAACATTCGAAATTCTTCGACAGCAAAGTAGCAACTGTTTCAGATCGAATGCACACGGACAGCCCACCAAAGACAATGGCAGGGTACTGAAATAGAACGTCACTAAAAAATTCTGTATGATTAATTTAGATCATGTCCACTCTTTCAACATAAAACAGTCATTTATTTTGTACAAACATTTGGCAATATTTACACGATTGTGTCTTTTTGTAAACACGCGTTGCGTGTATTCCACGCAATTGCGTGGCTCATTTTACTCGCGCATGCTCAGACAAATTTCCCACCTGTTCCTCGCCGGTCATTCTGACAGGCCTCATTTTCACACCTTCCGCTATAGAATTATATAGAAATCGTTTTTTTCTCCTCAGCATATCTGCTGAAGAATTGTCAAAGAAAGACTGTAGTGAGTGGGTGTATACTTCATGGCGCGGACGTAATTACATCACAAGAACGTCAATTTACGTACGACAAAAACATTGTTTGTTCTTGAACAAAACGTAACTAATTATATGCTGGTTGAATTTCAAAGGTTTCGATTTTGTTTTAAGTTTTGTAATTAGGCTGTTTATTCAACAAAATTTTATTTACTTTTGACAACCTTAATCCGACAGAGGTTTTTTGTTGTGGAATTTATTGATAACTCTCTTGGCTCATGCATAAACAGTTAAATTTTGTTTGCGTTGATCAAGTTGACCGGTCCAGAACGTTATTTTGAGCCCTGCAAACTAATGTATTACAATGTCCTCCAATATATTCCACAACACAAAACAATTACAAAGCTTAAAACAACAGGAAATGATGCATATAAATTATAAAGGTGTTATGCATGCATTTACGAGAAGTTATATTAAAGATTATATGCTTTCCAAGTGTATCCGAGCAAGTTGACAATTTTGCTTGACTGCGGTGGGCAATTGTTCGATCGGTCGAGGGTTGGTTTTCCACGGCGACCGAACAAAATTTTCAGCTTGCAATGAAGTGTAGACACACTTAGAGAGAATCATCATATAAATATCGCAGGAAATTACTCACGTAAATAAAGGAACGAGGAGAGATTGCCACGGTAACATCGTTAGTCTTTACATTCTTTTTTCTCTTTGCTATTTTCTTGGCACTTAAACTTTGGGGCGTCTGTTGTTCATTCAGTTTCTTAAACCACAAGGAACTGGTTCCTTTTTCATTGGGGGCAGAAAATATAGTAGGCCGCAGACATTCTTCCATCGCTAAATATACGAAAAGTACGATATGAGTATTCTATTTGTACGCAGGAAGTAATATGCATAATTAAAAAGATACAATACAATACTTTATTACTTGGCACAGATTATTACTTGAGATAGTGAAAGAATATCCGGAGATGAGCAAGCAATCAAATTGCGCGAAGAGCAGTATCCCCAACCCGAGAGTATATTCTAAATTAAATTAGGCTATACATTCCGTATCATGTTAACCGCGCAGACAAAAACAATAGAAAGGGACTGGAACTGACGTCCAATATCTCTTCAATTTCCGCCATCTTGGCTTCACTTTTTGGAGTTCACTGGCTATACATAGTTAAATAAGCGAGCTATAGGGCAAATTATGAGGCATATGCAGGCTGAATGCCTTACATTTTCCGGGTATAAATAATATATACGAACGCTCTGCGGGGGAGAGTGATAAGAGAGTGTCAAGGTACGGTAAATATCGAGATTTTTGGGCATCTAGCTTGATAACAATAAACGATTCCCCTATTACATTTTCGTAGCGCTTTGCATTGTGGTTATAGCGGCATCACTGATAAAGATAGTGGCCTCGAATAAAAATATTGAATGTTTTCGCGAATATTTTGCTGTTGGATATCGTGCACCTGACCCTAGCTTTTTTTTAAAGTTCTTGCACAGTTGAGGACAAAAAATAAGCCATCTTGAATATTAGTGATATCACTATAACCACAATGCAAAGCGCTACGAAAACGTAATAAGGGGAATCGTCTATTGAAGGCTTTTTCAAAATAGAAATTTCGAGCTGACGGTTATACAATTTTAGACCTAACTACATGCAGCTGTGAAAAATCCAAGGACTTCTGTGACTCGGTTGGTTAGAGCGCTGCGACGGAGTCAGAGCCGTAAGTCCGCCTCCTTCCAGAGGGCTTCCTCAGCTGATCCTGGTTAGGTCTAAAATTGCATATAATCTATCGCTCGAAATTTTCATCTACATGAACCTTCAACTATGAAGCTACAACAGCTGGGCATTCTGTTGTCGCTGTCTAAATATTGCGGGCGCATTTCTTTAACAAACATTTTGATTCTTCGAACGCTGAAAATATGATTGTGAGAGGATTTTTTGTCCTCTTTTACTGGTTTGTTCATGGAAAATACAGTGTTTCTTGAAAGATTAAGTTGTAGTGCTTGTACGCAACGATATAACGACTTAATCGCATGAAAACGTGCGAAGAATTTTTATTTACAAATGGGTGACAAGTGGAAATGTTTCACTCATTGTCAGAGTTTCAGAAGCAGGGTAGAGCAGTATGGAAACAAAGAAGTGTTCATATTTTATTCTTGATAGAAGCTGAGTTGTTGTTGTTTCCACAGGTATGTTCAATGATTTGTTTGTCCTTCCTCATCTGGAATAATAAGTGTCTTAAAATACATATTTTGATGAAAATGACACATATTCCTCTTGCAATTTCGTAAAAACTGGCCGTTGCCTTTAGTTAGAAAATATATTTTATGAAAGTTAAATCATACTTTGTTTTATTAAAACCTGAGCTATTCATGGGCAATATGTGCTAGATGTTGTAATTGACAAATCTACTTGTGAAGTGAAAATGTCATGTTGTCACATGCTTATGAAATTGCTCCTGTATTGGTTTGTTATAAAGTAAAAATTGCTGCAAAAATGCTTTTGAAAATGTTCAAGTATTGGTTGTGATGAGATAGGAAATGCCGTATTGATTTGTTCAGTTTTAAGAGTCTAACGGCAATCCTGAATATAGGCATGCTTGCTTTGTGAAATTCTGTTGTGATATGGCATATAAATAAAAATATCCTAAAATTTTGCCCATTGCCTCTCTCCGAAATATGGCTTAAAACTATCCTTATTAGTCAACCTTCATGGAAAAGTTAGTGGGTATGCTGGGAAAAATGCGCGCGGCACTTTTTTTGGACACTGAAGATGGCAACATTTGATGTTGTCATATATTGCCATCCTTTTATCATAGCATAAATTACTTAACTTATTTTAGTGAGTTTGTTAAAGAGTTGTGCTCATTATATGCCTGTAGTATCTAAGATTTTTTCATAGCATTATATGACAAATTTAAGTTCTGTTTTCTTTTATTTTTAGGTGATAGTATCTGTTCACTTGAGTGTTGGTATCAAATTTTGGACAAGTTTCAATTATTATTTCACATTCCTTTATTTAAATATCCAAATAAATGGAATATGACATCAAGCTGGAGGACTAGATTCTGTTTCCAAACTTGTTTTTGTAAAAATAGAAAATAACAACTTATTCTGTGTTGTTCTAATAAAAACTATCGTTTTTGATATGCATATTTAATTTTTAAAATTACAGTCATTCTTTGTTAAAATGTGTACCAGGAATACTGAAATCTTTCAGATCAGCTACCAATTCCCTTTATAACTTATGTAGCCAAGTTTTCTATCTATTTCTGTTCAGATTAAACAAATGATGGGTAAAATAATATTAGTTTAGATTCTTTCAGAAAAAAAAATGAGCTTGCCTATTTTCAAAGGATAAAAAGCAATTAAATAAAGCAAAAGTACGTATTTTTAATTTAAAACCTTTGGATTGCATAGCTTAATGTTTTCCACTAAATATTACAAAGTTTTCGTTCATTGAAATGTTGTTTTATCAGCTTTAAAACCAGATAAATCCACGAAGCACTCCTAATATATGTCGCCATATTGATTTTTTCGCGCATGCTCCGTACAAAATGCCCAGCTGTTTGAAGCTACAATAAGGCCCCGTTTACATGAGACCGGGACGAACTCAAACCGGGACCATTTCGTTTTGGTCGTCGTATTACTTACTGTAATAGAAGTTCACAATGAGACCGAGACGAATATAACTCAGACCGGTCATTCCGCCGGGCCTGCTGGACCGGGCCGACTGACTTCAGACCGGCATCAATGGACCTTTCCCCTTATAACTAAAATTTTGATCTAGACAAGTTGAGACAAAAATTTCATTTTCACAGCTTGAAAGAGCATCACAAAATTAGTAATATTCCAAAATTTCGTTGTGAAATGTTGTAAAATGCGGATAATATAGCCCTGCGAAATTTGCAATTTTCTGTCATTTTAGATTACAAAATGGAAATTGATGCCCCAACACCCGATTGGGCTGTCAATTTCCTGTTTGTAATCTAAAATGACTGAAAAATGGCAAACTTCACAAGGCTATATTATCCGCATTTTACAACATTTCGCAACGAAACTTTGGAATATTACTAATTTTGTGATGCTCTTTCAAGCTGTCATGAAATTTTTGTCTAGATCAAAATTTTTGTTATAAGGGGAAAGGTCCATTCAGACTGGGATTAATGTAGACACAAATACATTTCAGACCAGTCTCAACTGTAACCTTGACATTGGAGCAAAAAATGCTAACAAAAGACATCTAAAAAAGAAAATTGCCTGACAAGGGTAATAAATTGAACATTTTGTGATTTTCGTACCGGTCTCATGTAAACATGTTGACAATTTCAATTTTCATTCCGGTTTGACTTCATTCCGGTCTCATGTAAACGGAACTTAACATACTACTGTACCTAAAGTGGCAGGTATTGTAGGTAACATTGGTATCTTTCCAGTATCCCTGTATTGTTTGACGACATTATCCGGAGCACGTTTTGAACACAAGTTCTTGCGACGTATCTTGATTTGTTTCAGCGTTTTAACTGGGAGGTAATGTTTCTTAATTTCAGTCCAATTATGAGCGTATTGATCAATACCCAACACAAGGAGGTTATCTTCGCATTGAAGGAATTTCTCGCCACGCCCTGAAATTGTCTTCTGTGTTTGAAATGGAATATGAGGTAACAATCCCTTATAGAGAAATATAGGTGATGACCTTATAATCTTGACCACTTCCTCAGAAATGATAGGAGCTGCTGTGGTGACACGTGACTCGTCACCAGGTTTCGTCGTGGAGGGTGTCCCAACTGGTGTAATGGATGAAAGGGGTTGGTTTATGACCCTAAAACGATAAAGTAAAATTACAAATACAAAAACAATAGTAACTCCGAAAACAGTAAACATTTTGTACAGTGTATATTCGACGCTTGGACTAGATTTTAGGGCATCTTATTCGATAGACCTATACACAAATTTGGCTAACGTTGTTTTCATCGTTACTACGCCCAATTCTACAACTTTAGATAACTCACATTGCCTAGTTACTGCTGTACTAGTTTACAGAAGTATATAGAATAGAACAATTAAAGTAACTAAGCATTAGAGTTATTATTTAAAACACGAGCATGCAGGAACGCTTTCTACAACTTCAGATAACTCACACGCCTTGTTACTGTTCTATTCTATTAACTTGGTTCAACTACTGGACTCTGTAGTTCAGTTGATAAGAGAACTACACCGGAGGTTTGATTTCTGCAGAGGACTTATAGAACGTTTGCACATGACGTCACAGCCGCCATGTTGGTGTTCCAATTCAAAAGAATTTTAATTAGACTCTTTTGTCTGGAACACCAACATGGCCGCCATGGCTTTTGTTGAGTTGGTCTCTGGGGAATGAGTTCAAACGCTCTATAGTTGCATCTTTTGCTCCTGGTTAGGTGTTAATAATTAAATGTATAAATCAACACTCGAAATTTGCATCTACAAATTCCTTCAACAAAAAACGTATTATAAACTTTTCTACCCATTACCTGACGGCCTCATTCAGTCCAACAGACGAGAACACAGTAGGTGAGGCGCCTTTATTAACCACCAATCGAGAAACATAATCACTGGTGGCAACATCGTTGAGTCGAACCATATCTTGAAGCAGCCCCTCACATGTCTCTGCCACAAAACTAAAGTCTGCCTGTCCCTTGCACAATAATGACACTTGGGCTAACAGTTGAGTATGCTTTGAAACGAAAAGAGTTCAAATTTAATACTACTCGAGCTCAGGGCCAGAAATATGCAGTATCCCGATATCCACAGGATACCAGATTATGAAGGGCTTGAATCCCGACCGGTCACTACAAAATTTCAAACATTCAGATAAAGCCACGCTTATTTTTTCGTTGGGTTACGGCAAAAGGAAATGACGGCAAAAAAAATTTAAAATGTCTAATATCTGATACCACAGGAGAAAGGGGAAACAGCACAGTAAGGGCCATGCATGCATCTTCCGAGAAAACTGTACAGACTATAGAATATATTTGGTACAATGCTCTTCGGTGGAACTGAACCACCAGGATGAGAGTCCACGAGGATAAGAAACCCACGCTTGCCCAATTTAATTAACTCTCATCCTCACTTGATCAGGTTTCAATCAACAATTATTACCTTTTGCAATTGTGCAATTACACATTGCTTTTGCTGTAACGTCATTCCAATTTCTTCCCCATCGGGTATGGGAGTTGATTGTGTTTGCAAACTACAATGACAATACAAAATCATCTTTACAAAATCTTTTAAGGGTATACCGTCGTTCTTGCTAACAGACTACCACCGAGTGAATTTACTCGTCAAATTAATTTATCTAAATATGGACATTTTCGGGTCTTTTTAATTTAATTTCTCCATAAACGGTGAAATTATTATTTATTAATCGTCTGAATGCCAAACCCACCTGGACGAGGCAGTCTCTACCAGAGGAATTTCATCTCCAAACTACAAATAAAATAAGTCAGGAGTCACTATTAAAGCGAAGAGAACAAATAGAATAAGGTCAATAATTAACACGTAATGACTGGAACAGATGGAAACAGTACGTTTTGTGGACCCGAGACTGTCATTGGCAGCAGATGGTCCACAAAACACACTGTTTCCTGAACATCCAAGTCAATAAGAATTTAATTATTTTATTATACTGTATACCAAGTGTCAAAGAAAACGAAAAACAAAGAGAAACGGGAAACGTCCATAATTTTTGCTTTAAAACTCGACGAATATATTATTCACCGGTGAAAATATTATTTCAGAGCTGTTGCCAGGAAACAGTCGAATTTCGTGACTTACGTGTGATACTCTCTCGTCCAATGACATGCACGAAGACATGAACTTTGACACTTGGTATGAGTTGGCAGAGTGATAGATTTCGCTTGCAGTGCCGTAGCAAGCTTGATAATTGGGGGGGGGGGGGGGGGG